ATTCCACTTGTACACTGTCGAAACCCTAACTGAAGCAACGGCCTCCAAGGCCAGTGAGCCAGTGTGGAACCCATTTCCCGAAACAGAGCAGAGGCTGGTCTGGCAGAAGCAAGAGGCTCACAACCTGACTCTCCCTGTCCAACTGCACTCACCTTTCTCTCCTTCTTGCCGAAGCTGAGGCCAGGGGTGCCCTTCTCGACAACTATGCATGAGATGCCTTTGGGGCCTGGTCCTCCTGTTCGGCACATGACCACATAGATGTCTGCTTCACCTCCACCACTGATGAAGGCCTGCGGGGTTGGAGAGGGGAAAACAGTGCGGTCCTCCGATGATGGGACAGTGAGAGATATGGTGGCACAGAGAAACTAAGGAGGGTTACAAAGAGCCTGCACTGAGGCTGTAAAAAGGACAGACACTAGTGAACGGAACTAAGTGGACTGAGACCAGAAGAGAAACAGTGACAGTGAACACGAGAAGTTGGCCTGAGGTTCCCTCCCACACGTACCACCCCCGGGAACGTTCACTCGTGGACCTGGGGTCCAGGCTGTGGAGCCAGGAGGGGGACAGCCTCCGATCTGCCTGGGGAGGACCGAGGACGGCATGCTTGTACCTTGGAGCCACTGAGCACGTAATGATCTCCTCGTCGCTTGGCGGAGGTCAAGAGGGAGGCGGCATCACTCCCACTGCCTACGGCAGGGACAGGAGGGAAGCGAAGAGGTGGGAGAGAGCCTGGGAAGGTAAGGGAGCCCCGCAAGGCTCCACCTGAGAAATCTTCCCTTACAAAAACCACCTCAGAGTTTGATACTTTAAAATCCATACGGCTGAGCAGCTCTCTATACTTGTGAAAACTGCATATGGCAATCAGACCCTTTTCCATCTCCCATCACACTAGCTTGCAATGAGCCTCCTACAAGGAGGTTCTGGTCTGCAGCCTGGAAAGACTCTGCCCTAGAGCGCTCTTAGCCTGTGACATCAGGTCACGGCCATCAGGCACTCCTGGTCAACAACGGCTACACGTGCGGGGCTGAGAAGGCACGCCCCGTGATTTCCCATGAGCCACACCTCCTGCTGGACGGCAAACCCACCTGGTTCAGTGAGGCAGTAGGAAGCAAACTTCTCCATGGTACAGAGTGGAGGGCAAAACCTGTGCCTCTGTTCCTCACTTCCAAAGGTATCAATCATCCAGGCACACATGCTGACAGGTACACCAAGAAGAGACATTGACAGAGATAGAGACGGAAAAGAAAAGGAAATTTGAGGGGGGAGGGGAACGGGGAAAGAGAACAAAGGCAGCAAAGTAGAGTGAAGCAGAACAGAGTGGGAAGGGAAGAGTCACAATTGAGAAGATTCATCTTTAAAGCAAAGGCCTGGATTAACACATATTCCTGAAACACATACTACCCAGACGTACCCAGGGCCAAGGTATTTCCCACCTGGATGCTATTCATGCTATTTCTAGTTAGGTTAACTGAGCTCCCTAAAACTCAAGGAGTCATATGTCCTTTCCCAAATTAGTGGAGGCTTCATCTTTGGGCTGAGGAAAAGGGAACAGGCCCCAGCCACTCTACTGGAGAGGTCTGTTTGGTATCAGGTCAATCCGGAATTTGGGAGAAGGCCAGCATTCTCTAAGCAACATACAAGATGACAGATTCAAGTCCAACAGGGAGCAGCAGACCTAAGTGCGAACTTCTAACTGTCTAGTCCTTCAAGGACAGCCAGCCTGAAGAGAGCAGCCTCTTCCCTGTTTATATAAAATTCCCCAGCCCGCCCGCACGAGCACGTCACTGTGCTTGCCGATTTTGGCCACTCACTTGTGGATGCTTATGTAGGCTGTGGTGCTGGTGCAGCCTGTGGCCAAGGCTTCAAAGATGACAGAGGTGTCGAGCCGTGACAGTCCAGACCCTCCTACATCTGTCCGTACGTAAATCCCCCCAAAGCCCAGCTGGGCTGCCTTCCGCATCACATCCACTGGGAACAGCTCCTGCGTACAAAGAGAGCAGGATCGTCAGTAAGTGATTCACAGACGGCCTTTTCTTTAGAGGGCACAAGGAAGGATCAAGACGTTTGTACTCGGGAGAGAGTAGGGAGTCTCTTAACTCAACATGCCTTTTGTCATCTATATAGTGGAACCAGTTAAAATGCATTCTATAAGGACTGGTTTCTGGCATCAAAGTTTCTTTTTAATCATCAATAGAATTGCCTTGGTTTAAGAGTGCCCAAATCTCTGTGCAATTAAAAAAAATGATATCTACAGGATGCGGAAGATGCTTTCCAGGAAAGGAATCACACCACTCCTGGAACTTGCATTCGCTGTGAGAGTTTTAAGTGGAGAATAAATACCGAATCTGGATCATAAGGAGGAGATAAGGGTCACTGCATGAGGCGTCTGTGGGGACATCCAGCACAGGAAAAGCCGCACCTTCTGGTCCCACTCTGCCATGTTTGGCGCCATCTCCCGGGCAGCAAAGTTGAAGGCCACTTTCTGGAACTCTTTCTGCTCTTCGTTTAGTCCCGTAGAAGCTGTGGGCAAGGCGGCGTTTACTCAGAACCAGGACAGGGGTCAGGAAAGTGTACTGCAAGCAAGAAGCACCACGAAGCCCGGGCCGGCGGTGGACCTACGAGAGCATTCTCACACGGCACACCACCTCCAGCACCCACCGTTAATCAGCGTCTTGATGTAGCATCACCTGCCTCCTTCCTTCTTTACTCCCAAATAGACTGGCTGACTTCATTCACCTTGTTGCTTATTCTTTCAATACTCATCTTTATCTCTTCCTCCTCACGAATTCACATTAAAGGAATAATAAACACACTGACCCTCAAATTATGATGAACATATTTTTCCTTCAGGATGTCCTGCATTTTCTGTACTGGAATCTGTGCGTATTTGTCTACCAGCTACAACATTTTCATTTGAAAAGATCAGTCAGGAAAGGAAGATACGTGTACTTCGGCTTACCTTCCAAATTAAGGAAAAGATCCTGTAACAAAGCTGTGCATTTGACAGTCACTGATAACAATGATAACGAGTCTTCCAGTGTTGAAAACATGGCTAAGCCCTTCCTAATTCCGTCTTCACCTAATGGATTCACAACTTTTAGAATATTTTCTTTCCTAACTGTTAATGCCGTGACTTTGGGTAACTCCTTCCCTTCCAGGTCTAAGCTACTTAAAAGCTAAGGAAATGAGCTGACTGAGCAATACCAAGAGACAGGTAGGGGAGCTTCATGAGGACAAGCTTCTCTAGAACCTTAAACATTTTGTAAAAGACTATAGTATTTGTAAAAGACTATAGTATTCCAGTATTTCATCAGGGGCGATACTCTTTAGGAGAAAGATATCTGCATGAGCCTACGTGAAATAGTGACCACTCAATTCACAGTGTCATGACTTTACAACTTTTCTTTAAATAGCCAGTTCCCCGAATGACACGAACACTATTTATTTTCTATGTTTTTTTTCAAACACTGTTTAGAATGAGGTAGGACTCAACTGGAAAGCGGAGCGACAGGCCATCTAGCTGGTCATGTGGGCCTGAAATATTTTTCCCGTTTTGCAAGGTGATAAGACTTTCAGCTAGAGACAGGCCAGAAGCTAAAAGGGAAGAACCTAAGCAAAGCTCCTGTGAAAAACCACAACCTTTTGGGAACCGTGTAGAGAATCTAGAAAAGAAAGGACCATGAATCCTGGGAGCCACCATGCAGAAGGGTCAGCAACCCGCACAGGGTGACAGGCTTACGCGGCGCCGCTCACGTTATCTTTCTTCTGTTTTCTTAGGACTGCCGTTTTGAAAGGACCACCTGCCTCACACGTGCCAGGAAGAGATAACGGAGCGTCTGCTGCAGCTGGAGGCACAGTGGTGGCTGAGAAAACATCAGGGGAAGAAGTGCTGGGCTCGGCACTGCTCTCTAAGGTTTCAGCCTTTTGGTCCTGGGATGATGCTAAAGAGCACACCCCCGACCACGACTTGCTTCAGTGTCCGACTGTCCTGCACGGCCCTTCCGACAGAGAACAAGGGCAGGTGGCAGCATGTGTCTCTGGGCAGACCTGGGCCTCAGGAGTGGCTGCTGTGTGAAGCAGGACAAAGCGGTGTGTCTGTAGCAGGACCCTCACCAAAATGGAAAACTCATAAGTGAAGACTTGTGAGGATTAAAGATGACGCTACCTTGAGAAGGTCCAAAGCGGAAAACTACGTTGGGTGTTGCTCTCGGAAATGTGGTTAGGGATAAACAATTCATGGTTCCTTGCCTGGGAGTCGGGTCATTTTCCATTCACAAAAGAATACTGAGTGTCTACCACGGAGCAGTGCTGGGGTGTCAAAGATGAAAATGGTCCATTCACCCAAAGGATGACATAAGTGGTGAGAAAGCAAACATCTGACTGTACACGGGCTACAAAACTTCCATCCCAGCAAGAGCTCAATACGTGTCTACAGATATTATTATTAGTATTTGACAGAGTAAAACAAGTAGTTCAGGGTAGAAAAGGTCTAAGAAGTAGATCTGAATTGCACACAAAGTAAATAAGAGGGAATGGGTGTAAACAAATCAGATGTACAGGCACACCTTGTATCACTGCCCTTCATTTCTCTCTGCAGAATCTGTGTTTTTTATAAACTGAAAGTCTGCAACAACCCTGTGTTGTCAAATGATGGTTAGGCTTTTTTAGCAATGAAGTATTTTTAAATTAAGGTATGGACATTGTTTTCTTAGACACAATGCTACTGCACACTTAACAGACTACAGTGCAGGGTAAACATAACTTTTACAAGTACCGGGAAAACAACAAAGTCGTTATTGCAGTATCTGCTTCATTACAGTGGTATGGAACCAAACCTGCAGTATCTCTGAGGTGCACCTGTATAAATACAACATAATTACATGTTTATTTAAGATAGATAATAATCAATTCTAGATAATGGAATGCTAACAAAAGGAGAACACTGCTTGGAGAAAAAAAGTGGAAAAGGCAAGTTAAAAACTAAATTATAGGGCTTCCCTGGTGGCGCAGTGGTTGGGAGTCCGCCTGCCGATGCAGGGGACATGGGTTCGTGCCCCGGTCCGGGAGGATCCCACATGCCGCGGAGCGGCTGGGCCCGTGAGCCATGGCCGCTGGGCCAGCGTGTCCGGAGCCTGTGCTCCGCAACGGGAGAGGCCACGGCAGTGAGAAGCCCGCGTACCGCAAAAAAAAAACAAAACAAAACTAAATTATACACAAGAAAGCATGGTTACTGAGTAAAAATGCCTAAGTTCTCAGAAAACATGCACTGAAAAACAGAACAAGACGAAAACCAGGAACTTCCCTGGTGGTGCAGTGGTTAAGAATCCACCTGCCAATGCAGGGGACACGGGTTCAAGCCTTGGTCCGGGAAGATCCCACATGCCACGGAGCAACTAAGCCTGTGCACTACAACTACTGAGCCTGGGCTCTAGAGCCCGTGAGCCACAACTACTGAGCCCATGAGCCACAACTACTAAGACCGCTGTGCCACAACTACTGAAGCCCGCGTGCCTAGAGCCCTGTGCTCCACGAGAAGCCACTGCAATGAGAACTCTGCGCACCACAACGAAGAGTAGCCCTGCTCGCTGCAACTAAAGAAAGCCCGCGTGCAACAACGAAGACCCAATGCAGCCAAAAATAAATAAATAAATAAATTTATTAAAAAAAGAATCTTTGAATGCATCCAAAGGCCAAACCTAGCCAGAGACTCAACAGTTCTGAGAATCCTGGTGCTCAAGGAACGCTTGGGAAGCTGCAGCAAATCACAAATGAGGGAGCACTGGACAAGGAACCAGGCGTTCAAGATCTGGGTCTGCAACTATTAATTATACAATTTTCAGGAAGTCAGGCCTCCAGACTCCTTCCTCAGCCTCAGGTGCCCCGCTGTAAAACCAGGGGGCTGCACTAGACACTGAGCAAGTTTCCTCATCTGTAAAATGATATATCAGATATAATGAAAATCATAACGCTCTTAAAAATTACTTTTCACATTAAAATATGCCATGAATCAATGAGAAACCTTTGTTGATCACTTCCGTTAACTTGATATTCTAATATGTAAAATGATACACCTAAAGGATAGTTTTCTTTCATTTTACTAATTAAAAGAGCATTAAAAAGCACCTTCAGCTGGTTGAAGTTACACCACTAGCCACTGGATATACTTATATTTACCCAATTTGTTGCCAATCAACAAAGGTGACCTTGCTTACCGAATTCTAAGGGCTAGGATAGGGTGGCACCCTGTGAAGGTGTTTTAGAACACTGAGAAGAAAACTGTCCTATACCTTGGCGTCCTTTACAGCTCTGGATGTCGAGCTAAGGCCCTCAGAAGCTACTCTGCTGTTTTCAAAACTGTCATTTATTAAAAATTTAAAAAAAGAAAGACTTCAAAAGAAAAAAGTGGTTAGGCGCCCGACAATGTCACAAAGTGTCTGGTTACCCCCTAGGCGGCCTAGGTCCCCCCCACTCCGTTACTGGCGTCGAAATTATTTGCCTGGTGCCAGGAGACATTCAGATCTGTAAGCTCTGGTAGTTTCCCATTTGCAACAGGTTATTTTTCTGCAGAAATTTCAACAGTTGAAGTGTTTTGTAGTTACAGGTGTTGTTCTATAATTTATATATGGGAGCAAATCTTGTATCACCGGAGATTTTGTTCACCAATCACAACCAGCCCCGGGCTTTTCACATTCTTACTGCCTTTAGAACCGATGGTTGTGATTTAAAAAAACAAAGTCACGAGCTTCCGCGGCGGAGCCCGTCGTTATCCGAAAGCAGATGGGTAACGACGTAGCTCCGAATTGTGAGAGGAAAGGTCGCAGGGGCGGCCTCGCGAAACGTACCGCCAGGTTCATAACGCAAAGCACGGTAAGGGCGGTCTGTACAAGGACGGACCAGCATCGGCCACCGGGCTGAGCCGCCGAGGGTCGCCCGCCCCCGGGGCCGCGCCACGTCTAAGCCGGGGAGACCACTAGGCCCGGGGCGCCCGGACGGGCCGACGCAGTGAATGAGGGCGGCCGGGCCGGCCAGGTGGACAGACCCCTACCCCCGGGCGAGCCTTACGATCGATGCAGGAGACCACGCCCCGCCGACCGCTTTCGGCGGGGGCCTGGAGCCCGCCGCGCCAGCCGTGGACAGACCCCTACCCCCGGGCGAGCCTTACGATCGATGCAGGAGACCACGCCCCGCCGACCGCTTTCGGCGGGGGCCTGGAGCCCGCCGCGCAAGCCGCGTATCCGCGCCCCGACACGCCACCACGGGACCCACAACATAGCCGCCGCTTGCTCCACTCCTTTCTGCTCGGGCCTAGGTCTGAGCGCCGGTGACCCCGACCGGCCGGCCACAAGGGCCGCGCCGCACCGCACGCTGGGAGCTGTAGTGCGCGCCGTGGCCCCGCGTGCGGACTCGGGGCGCCTGCGCGAGGAGCCGGGACTACAACTCCCAGGGGGCCCCCGGGCGCGCGCCAAGACTAGGAAGCGCCGCGGGGACGCTGTGCAGCGCCCTGCGGCGCGCGGGGAGGTGGGCTGCGGTAGCGCTTCGAAGGCCTGCGGACCCGCGGGGGTGGCTGTGATTGAGAGCAAGACCACCGGGGGCGCTCAGCGGCGGTCTGTGCTAGGCGGACGTGGGTAACGCGGGAGGATTCCGTGGGCGCCCTGAGCGACAGCGGGACCCTCTATCCTCGGCGCGCGGGGACGCCATGCCGCGAGTCCGGAAGAGGCCGGCGGGGGCCGCGAGGCCAGGTGAGCCGCGCCCGGCTGCTCAGCGCCGCTCACCTTCCGCCCCTGCGCGTGGGGAAAGGCCCGAGTGGGTCGTTTTGCGGTCCGATGTCCTGAGCCGCCCACCAGGCTTATGCCCAGGGCTCCTCTGCTGCTTCCTCGTCCGAGCGGTAGCTGTTTGGAAAGCACGAAAAGTAGCTGGGATACGGGCTGGCAGGCGCTGAGTCGGTCGTTCACAGTTCCCGCTCCCCGGGGAGCCAGACGAGGAAAGGAAAGGGTCACTGGGGCTGTGAGAGCACGGAGGGGTTGGGGGGACGCCTTGAGCGGGAGGGGATTTGAGTCTAGCCGTAAAGAATGGGTAGGAACGCGGGATATCCCCGTGTGTTCACAAGGATGAATGGCATTCTAGGAGCAGCAGCAAAGCAATGAACGACAGAGAAAGTGCTTTTTCGAGACTGGGGAGGGTTCCGAGTTGCCCACAACACATTGTTAACAGTACACACGGTGTCTACAGTGTGCCGATCAAGTCCAGGGGGACCACTAGGACCCTAGGAAATTTCCACGTGTTGGACGTCCATCATGATGGCATACGATACGTAGGAGCTTGAACTTGGTTCAGAGGCTGTGTAGGATGGTCGTTTAGTGGATTCAGATAGACCAGCGTGGCAGGCCCTGATGTGTGATCTGGGACACATCTTACAGATGGACAGAACACCTCATAGATTGTGTAGACTGAGTTACAGTGAGGGTGGTAACACATAGGGCGTAGGGTAAGAATTTAACAGCTGTTCGTTACAGGGCACCCACTCTGCTCCAGGCACATTTCCCTCACTCTGTAGGGTAAAGTCCAGTCTTGACCATGTCTGCAAAGTCCAAAGTGGCTGTTTTATCCAGCTTTTCTTGGCACCTTCAAGGAGTAGAAAGGAGGCAGGCCACAGAGCATACTGAGCAAGAAGAAGTCGAGGTGACCTAATAGCTAATATTATTGAGCATTTATGGTAACGCCAGACACTGCTTCAGCCCATTGTTTGTATTGTCTTATTTAATCATCAAAGCAAGTCTGTGGAGTAGGTGCCTGGTTTCCTCATTGGAGAGAACAGCCCCAGCAAAGGCAGAGGAGAGGGTGAGGAAAAGAAAACATTCATTGACTACTTAATAGATGCCACGGGAGGTATCATCCCACTGAATGGGGAACCCAGAAGATGTCCTGTAAGGCAGGCGTTCTGGTCCCATTTTTATAGACGAGGAACAGGTTCAGC